CGCCACGTTCTATCATCACCTGATCATGAACATCCCACATTTCTTGGTCATCGTTACCTCTAACATGATGATGTCCTTCATCGTCACTATCATCATCGTTTTCTAAATGTTGATTTACTCCATGCTCAATTTCAGAATCATGATCATCGTTCCTTTCATTATCCAATATAACTGAGTGACCATGGATCGGTTGTCGGACTACTATTTCTACATCCATGTCGTCACCATTATCATCATCCCCTTCATCTAAATCGTCGTCATTACTAACATCACTAAGATCACTGCCGGTTCCTTCATCAAATTCACCATCATCATACCTTTGTTCATCAACTGACGAGTCTAAACTATCGTCATCCATTTCATCGCTATCCACTCTGCCTTCTAGAGCTCCGAGCACAGAAGTTGCATACAAATCAGGTGCATCCTCAGTTTCTGGATTCATTTCATCGGCAGATGGCGTTGATATGGAAGAAATACTGTCACGACGTTGTTGCTCTTTGTTAGGAGCTTCAGGAGATCGACCCAGTTTAATAGCAACTTTTGTAAGACATTCAAAAGGTTTTAATAAAGCGTTTATCAAAATTCTCGCTGAAGGATAATTGAGATCAACTTCCGCAAGTGCATCAGTTAAAGTGTTTACAAAATTTTTATCTAGCATTATTTTGGCGATACTGGCGGGGCCATCATCAATTGGTTTGTTGGCAGTGGTGTTAGGACCAGTGCGTGAATTCAGTATAGCATAGCATAGCTCTGCCAAAGACAAAAGTCTTCCATATTTTGTTTCAATTGGATCTGATGAAGAAATGGCAGTTTTAAATGATTTGATTATACAATCCAAACCGAATTTTCGTACTTGTATTATTTCCGGCTGTGGTTTCTTATCATCTTCGCTACCAACATTAGAACATAGTGCCACAAGAGCAGATGTTGTCCATTTTGATTGTCCATAACGTTTTCGCATCTCAATATTAGTAGATGGTGTTATACAACCGTATGGTAATAACTCATTTAGGAGATAATATAAAAGAGAAGTTTTTGATTTCGATTGAGTACTAGACCCCATGCTGTTTCTGCGACGTGAAAGATTCACAACTTCAATTTTACATGATGGATATGAAGATAGAAGTTCAGTTAAGCATTGAAGTAGGAAACACCGATACAGATAATCTAAATGTTCTTCAGGTTTAAATACAGGTTGTGGGGTATTTGTGTTATTTGTAGGAGTGGAAGTGGTTGCGGAAGAATTAGCATTTTCATTTCGATCGTTTAAATTAGTATCAGGCAGTTTTGTATCCAAAGTTTGATTAGCTTGCACACGAGTTGCGACCAATTCATTTGCAATAAATTGAACGATGCTTTCAGCTGTTTCTGAACCGAATGAAAACTTTTTAGGGGATCCAAGTGAAACAGATGTCGACGGCACCGGTAATGTATCGGTCATCTCTTCTTCATTGACAGTTGTATCTTTAGTCGTGGTAGTACTAATATCTTCCGTATCTGGTTTAATTAATGTGATTTGTTGATTACGCCCATTAGAATCGTATCTTGTTAATTTGCAGAGCTTTTTAGTGGATTGAATAAATATTTCTGGCGCCCGTAAGGCAAATTGAGCATTGTTTCGTAAATATGCATTGATATCGCCCCCTCGTGGGCGTGGATTGGCGAACCAATTTTTTATTTCTTTATCAATAATTGATTCTAAAACTGAAGCATCTTCAAGGGCGTGCCGTAATATCATGACAATGAATATCTGCTGTCCACGGAAATCATGGGCCCTCGACTTAAATGAATTGAAAAGTAAATTCAGACCATCCTTGTTTACAAAATCAATGGCATCTGAATGACGGCGAGTAAGACGAACCACTATCCTAAGTAATGCATTCATAATATCCTTATCTAAGTCCTTTCTTTTTAATAAAGATAAACAATAGTCAAGAAGTTGAGTTCGCGATTCTGCTTTAATGAAACTCAACTCGTTTAAAGAAACATTAA